CACAACTGTCTCCCACATGCAGAGGGACCAGTTGGGTCCCAGGGAGGTTCCTCATTCATCATAATTCCAACAGGCACATGTCAAATCAACTCGTATTTCTATTCTTTGGAAAGTCTAGTTCAGTTGGCAGTTTATATAGATGCTTCTCTCTGAAGCATTCTATACTAACTGCAGTAAGTACAGATACACAGAGTAAGACTTAGGAACTATTGTAGCAATTCAATAGCCACTTGACAACTGAGAAAGCTAATTTACAAGTGTTCTGTTTTGTATATACTCACTCATATATGGATTTTAGACATAGAGCAAAGGATCACCAGCCTCCAGTTCACACCATCAGAGAAGCTAGGATACAAGGAGGAAACTAAGAGATTCATACAAGGTCTCTCACAGAAGGGGAAAGGAACAAGATGTCCTGAGCATATTGGGAGTGGGTAGGGGCAGTGAGTGGAGAGGGAGTTAGGAGAAAGAGAAGGGGAGGAGGGGAACATTTGGGACCAGGAAGATTGAGTCAGGGGACGAATAGATGAAAGAAATTAAAAAAAGAGAGAAAAAGAGATACCATAATAGAGGGAGCCATTATAGGTTTGAAGAGAAATATGGCACTAGGGAAATGTCCAGAGACCTGTAAAAATGACCCCAACAAACAAATTGAGCAATAGTGGAGAGGCTACCTTTAATGCCCTTCCCTGATAATGAGATTGCCAACTACCTTATATGCCATCATAGAGCCTTCATCTAGTAGTTGATGGAAACAAAAGGAGACACCCACAGGTAAACACTGAGCTGAACTCCTGGAACTCAGTTGCAGAGAGGGAGAAGTGATGAGCAAAGGGGTCAAGACCAGTCTACAGAAACCCACAGAGACAGCTGACCTGAAGAAGGGGGAGCTCATGGACCCCCAAACTGATAGCTGGGAAACCAGCATTGGAATGACTCAGACCCCCTGAACATGGTTCCCAGTTAGAAGGCCTGGGCAGTCTAAGGGACCTGGGACAGTGAAACCAGTATGTATCCCCTGGTGCATGAAGGGACTTTGGGAGCACATTCCCCATGGAGGGATACTCCCTTAGCCTAGGGACATGGGGGAGGGCCAAAGTTAAAGTTAAAACATCCTATCAGTTAACAGGAAATTTTTAGTATATATGTAGTAAACACTGCTAGCAAGAAATTGGTCTACTATACCCAGAAAACATTATTTGCCAGTTAATTGTGCTCAATAAATTTAGGCAAATATAAATCCAACATATCATAGCAAACTCCTCTTATTGCCTATTACTTGGTTTTGTATTTATTCCAATAGGAGTTGATCTTTTGGGTCTGTATATAAAGAAATGGCACAAAACAAAACCTGGGATCATTTTGGCAAACCTGAATGTGGCGGAACCAAGGAGAGGTTCCTGGCTTTTACTATCATGATGACTCATTTTCTAAGGAATAGTGGGTGAGTCACTTAAACTTCCTCCTATCACCCATTTATCATGAGAAGATGTGGAAAGGGACAAACTAGAGATCTGGTTTAAGATGTTGTGGAAATGAGGAGGTGTGGAATTGAGGAGGATGGAATAGGGAAGAGCTGCCCTTGACTTTGACTTTCCTAGGCACCCCTTTCCTGCAGTATGTGGATGACTGTCAGGTCCTGCCCCAGTGCTGCCTCTGGGTGGACAAGTTCAAGGAAAAACAAGGGGAGTGAATTTTGGGAATTCATCCCTTTGTTCTTCACTGAGACCCATTCTGCTGTGGTCCAGGGAACAAGACTGTTGCTGAATTCTACCTCTTGGCACTGCAGATGACTGTCATGTCTGCCAGGCTGTGATGTCAGTGTTTCTCTTTCATTCCCTCTACCACTTTGCCCAGGGTTAGGAAAATCTTCAGAAGACAAGACAGATGTTTGTGTACCTCTGAAGTGTCTTAAAATTTTCCCCTACCTAGACAGGGTTCATATGTAACCCAGGCTGGGCTTACACTCACAATCCTCTTGCCTCAGCCTCCTGAGTGATGAGATTTTTAGATGCGCATGTCATGTCAGCTGTGTGTTTTCAAAAACATTTTCACTTATTTATTTTTCTAACAATAAAAAGAAATATCACACTCTTAAACATTTCAATAGTAGAAAGAAATTTTTAATAATATCAATTTTTCCACTCTGCCTTCCCCATTCTATAATATGTTACCCTGCTTTCTCCACATCGCAAATGCCAGCCTAATAGAAACATTATTTTATTCCTTGTTATTTCATTATACAGGATATCTTGAGGGTAATCTGTGTAAGTACATAGGCATCTTGTTCATTTTTAAAGGCCACCTGTTATTTAGTCATATATGTACTCATAATTAATAAAAGAATTCTCCTCTTAAGGGATATTGATATGTATAGAAACCACTAAACTTTTGCTACTATGCATATTGTTAAGTAAACACTTTTCACACAATCTTTATATGCTTGATGGAGAAAAACACTTAATTTCTAAAGATTCGTGAATTTATCATGTATGGCTGATTTTTAAAACCTCAAACAGGGCATCTTATTTGTCTCTATGTTCTGAGATTTCAAGTCAGTCCAGCATTCTTGTGTGTGCAAGTATTTGGAAATTATTTATTACCCTCCTAGCTTCATGCTCAAGGCCACAATGCATTTTCCCCATTTACTAATAGTATTATAGGATCTGTCTGGCACTGTTTGAATGACTTATTCATTTAATTCTCATTAATCTATAACTTATTTGATAGATTATGAACCTAATTAACTCTCATGTTGTCTGTCAAGATAGTGTTATATGAGTTCATAAACTCATATCCTCACCTTCTTCCGTTATTTCTTCTATCAGAAGAATGATAATAACAACAACATCATCAACAGCAACATCAACAACAATAATAAATGAAAATTAAATTACGATTTGGACTGAGTAACAATGTGAAATACAGGGTCTCCCTATGTAGTACATGCTGGCCTCAAACTTGTGATCTTCCTGTAATTGATGACATGTATCACCACATCTGGCTAAACTGAGTGATTCTTAACACACTTAGTTTCTCATTTTCTGTGACTAAGACAGATTCAGGGGACAGGAGAAAGCCAGATGTTCCTTCTCAATGAATGCTGATCTTCATGAAGATACTCCACTTCAGAGGCCATATCAGAAAGGAAGGCCACTCGACAAAGCTAACTTAGACCTGGAATTTAGGGTGCGCATTAACATTTGCTTATGGGCCTAGAATAATTGTTCTTATCTGGGAGCAATTTTTGATGTGTGGGACTTTTGTTAATGCCAGGTGACAATTGTTGGTTGTCACAGCTGGGGGTTGGGGGTTGGTCCTGGTGTATAGGTGCTGAATGTGCTGCTAAATGCCTTTTAATGCTCAAGGAAACCCTTTCCCAGGAAAGGAGCCTTCAGCCCCTAATATCAATAGCATCCAGCTTGAGAAAGCCTGTTAAGTTATCCTATTCTAAAACCAGTGACACTGAGAATCGAAGACTAAAAAGATACACTGGCTAAAGCATTGTGTCACATCCTTGAGGATTCGGATTTCATTGGTCCAGGCTAGAATCTTAAATAGCATTTTAATGAAGCTTCTTTGGGGTCTGACCAACCTGTCACAGGATTGACACCTACTTTCTGAAGTGTCTGATCTGAGGGAGGCCACAAAAGGGCCCAACCTCCCCCATATTTTGCAGCTGGAAGGCTACTGAAGGAAGTATCAATGGCAAAACCCAAAGGACACAGGAAGACATTCACTCAAATACTGGCGAGGGTAATATGGAAGCCCAAGTTTGGGCCTTTAGTGAGAAGTGGCAAAGACCCTTTTGAATAAACAAATTAAAAATCTTCTAGGTCACATCTACCCCCCCCCCACCAAAAATAGAAGAAAGAAGGAAGGAAAGGAGAAAGAAAAGAAAAGGTCTTCTGGGTCATTGCTCTCAAAGACCTTGACTTGGCAAGGAGAAAGATACAGTTTTGCAGTGGGTATGATTTTAATCTAGTCACACAGCTCTGTGAACTCAATGGCAACTAGCTAGGTTTTATCTTACCCCAAAGCCTCAAAGAAACTGGATCCATCCTGGGAGCAGCCTAGAAACCCTATACTGATACCAGAATGTTGCCAAGCCTGCCCACAGGGTGGAGCCACTGGGCTGGTCCTGCTGTTTCTGAGGGTGGTTTATAGCACTGGAGATGGACACATTTGGCTGCAGGAAACAACCACTGAATCTGTAAAGTTGTAAGTAGACAGAGAACTTCAGTGCCTTATACTCCCCATCAGCTGATCCTTAAATCCCATTCTAAATAGCAGCATAGCAGATGGTCACCAGGCCTAGCCCTTGATTCGTTCCTTTGCAAAAGAGAAACATAAAACCCTGTAGTATGGCCTTGGCGCTCCTGTACTGGCACACCTTGGTTCCATAACACGTTTCTGAGAGGCTGTTTTTTCCCTGGTACAGTGGGCATAATAATGATGAAATTCGAGGGTAGTCATGAGTGTCAAACCAGGGAATGTGTCCAGCTCTAGAGGGTAACTCTGGAATCCTGGGTTGCTTCTTTTTCTATGTGTCCCACAGGGACTACAGCCTTCTGCACACATGCATTCGTTCCAAGGGCCCAGGATCCTTTAGGTCCTGGAGATACTAGCTTTTTTGTGGGAGCTGAGGGGTATGCAAATGGAGAAAAGTATACTTTTGGATGTAATGTGTTTCTACGGCCTCTCGCTGGAGATTTCTGCCTCCGAGTGGAGCAGCCCAATTTCCAGAAAGAAAGGATGGAACAAAAAGAGAGGGGGTGGGCAAATGGTGGGGCGGGGAGCCCTGAACCACTCTGTGTTCCAGGGAGGAGGAAGGAGGGCAGGCCCAAGACGGGAGGGAGGGAAAGAAGGAAGCCGAGGAGGAGTTTTCCAGCCTGGCCTTAGTGGCTCTGGCTCACTGCACAGCCCCTTGGTCTCCTGGCTTCCTCCCTCCCCTTAAGTGTGCTGCACAGCCTGCTGAGCCAGGGAAGTGTCCGCTCGCCATGGGGAGCCCGGGACTCGGGACTATGCTGTGGCTGCCTCAAGCGCTGCTGCTGCTGTTACTGGTATTGCTGCCGCGAGTCCCGCCGAGCCGGGGCTTCCCAGGTAGGAGTTAAGATGGGGGTGTCTCCCCAGCGGTACACCTAGGAACTTCGGAGCCCTCTGCTGAAACCCCTCGCCTCAAACAGTGGGAGGCGTGAAGGGCGCCCTTTGTTTACTCTGAATTCAGTTTTCACAGTCCCTGGGAGCTGTTGAAGTGTGGGGCTCCCGACGGGAAGCATGGAAGAGAGTGCTATCAGATCTTGCAGCTCCAGGAACCTGAGCCTGAGCACCTTCTGCTCCCTGGGCTCCGAGGTTTAAACCTCTGGAGCTGCCATTGGCTTCACCAGCCTGAGGGGCCTTCATGTGTCCTCTTGTCCTGTGCCCTCCCCGCTTCCCCAGCCACTCCACTCCCCTCAGTGCTGCATACTCCGGAATTCCGAGAAAGTTTGCTTCTCTGAGGGAGAAGTGCCAGCTGAGAGTGGTGACATGTGGCACGCACTTGGTTAGCACCAGGGAAAGTGGGAAAGGCTCAGCATTGTGTTGGAGGGCGTGGTCTCCAGCATTTAAGGGCACCCTGGTATTTACTGAGTTTTCACAGGGCAGGGAAAATTTTCTTTGCAAATGCCTCTTTAAAAATCCCTGGTTATCAGGCCCTCTGAATGTGGATGGCAGTTATAGTTATGTGGCTTGATCTGTTGGCGGGGGTGGGGGGTGGGGTGGGGGAGTGGCTGGCAGTGGGACCATGAACTGGCCTTTTGGAGCCCATTCCCTCTGGTGGGATACCTTGCTCAGCCTTGATAGAGGATATCCTGACGGAGCTGGGAGGGTTTGGTCCTGTCTCAACTTAATATGCCAGGCTCCTGACTCTCCAAGGAAGGCCTTAACCCCTCTGAGGAGTGGATGGGGGGAGGGTGGGATTGGGGAGAAGTGGGGGGAGCTGGGGTAAGGGGAGCGAAGGGGAACAGGGGTTGGTATATAAACTGGAAAAAAAACAAAAAACCAAAAACAAACAAACAAACAAACAAAAAAAAACTCTAGTTAATGTCCTCACAATGAAATGTTAACAGAGAGCTTCTGAGGGGCAGGGCACCCTGTGGCCTTGGAATGAAGAGTCAATCTTCGCAGAGGTTTTAGCTATCTGTTAATAGAAAAGTGGTGACATGAATTACAAAGTATGCAAATACTTGTCTATGTGTTCGACATCACAGTGGGTAGTTTAAACCTGAGGCTTGGGAAGAAACACGGAGCTGAGATAAAAAGATAATGAATTCCTAGTTAGGGAGCTGGCTAGATGTAGATTGAGGTTACTTTCACAGTGAATGAATGAATGAATGATGTGTGATATAAAGACAAGATTTGTGTTTTGAGCTGATGCTTGCATGTTTGCAGTTTTGAAGGAACTGATTAGGGGCAAAGTGCAAAATATGCTTTACCTCCGTTGCTAGGGAAGTGTCATTTTATGATTTAGTGTCCCCATTCCCACCTCCTTGACAACAAACTGTGTTAAAAGGAGCTTAGAAGGGAAGGAGAGACAGTCTAAATGAAAGAATCTCAATTTCTGGTTGAGCTTGTTCCAGGCAGACTCCCTTCCTTTTTCATAGGCTTTTCCTCCTCTTTCCTGTTGCCCACCTCCTTTCTCTCAGCTTCTACCCTTATATAGTATAGCTTGCTGCCAAGCCTCAGACACCCACAGAATCCTAGATTGGCCAGCTCAGGCATTTACTACTGCTAATGTTTTGGGACTCGCCCTTGGCTTGCTTGCTCAGTTGGACAGCATGAATGTCCCTCCTCCCTCAGCCAGGCAGCCTCCAGGTACCTCCCTGCTGCTGTTTCTGCTGATTCCTACCCTGCCATCTGGCTTTTCTCAGAAGAGAAGAAAACATTTCTCTGGAGACCCCTCCCATTTTTTTCTAGCGTATTTCTAGACGTTTCGTTTTTAAATTAGTTATTTTGTTCCTCCCCCCCAAACCCAGCTATAGACCTCACACTGTGACTTTCTACACTACAGAATACTACTCAGTTGGAGCCCTGTCTTGCCAAGTCCCAAAGGAGTGTCTTGGGAATTGAGCTCTGCAGGGGCTGTTGAATCCCAAGAAGAGGGGATTTCCGTTCAAGCCAGAGATTGTAAAAGTCTGGGGAATACGCCGCCAGACTTGTACATCTGGAGGAGAATCGTATCCTCTGAGTTCACTATTAGTTGTGGGGTGACAGGTTTTAAAGGCTGCACTCCCACAGTAAATGGGCACCATGTCTCCATGAAAGAAGATTTGGATCTGGAACCTCACAAAGAAGGCTAGGAAATTTGGGCCCCATCAGCGCCATCTAAGCTCTTACAGCAAATCTGTCAGAGAAAGGGCAAATCATTCCCATTACTACCCAGAGAAGCTCTCTGGGGTTCTTCCAACCATGAATTTGAAGCAACTTTTCTGGGCCTCAGGTGTAGTCCTTACAGTCTAGCAAAGACTGTGTGTCTACTGAAACCCACACAAAGCATAATAAGTGCTCCTAGCACAGTTGCCAGTGTTTTTGTTTGGATTATTTAGATGAATGGGACTTTTCATTAATTCTATTCTTAAATGAATTCTTGTAAGCCTCTGTATGTCTCGGAGTTTGGAAGTTCACTCTACCTCTTGCAAACAAAATTGAGGGTGGAGAATGAATGCTGTGGCCATGGAGAAAGGCTTTGTGAGTCCTCCTAGTACTGGATGAAACAGGTAAAGTACTGTGGGTTCATCAGGAAAATTTAAAGCCCCATCAGACCACAGCAGTCAAAGCAGTATTCGGAACTGCCACATCTGGAGTTAAGTATTAGGAGCTGAGCACCTGGCTCAGGCTCTACAATTAAGGTCTCACCAGAAACGGACTAGAAATTTCTATTTGTGTTTAAGGCATATAATCAACTGACAAAATTACTCTGCAATATAAAAGGGGATCTGGTAGAGAGAGGGGGGCATTTTCGTCTGGCATTGTTTTTGTTGAAAACACTTCCCGTACAGTAAATTGTTGCCACTTCACAGATTTGTGAGTTGAACAAGGGACTGAAACCATCATTAAGACACCAATTTCAGACCTTCTTGCTTCTTCAGTCCTTGCACCATAATCAAATACATCCCTCATCCCTTCGTCCCTTCTAGATGACAACCATAACAATCTCTGTTAGTCTCTCTGAAGCTAACTCATTGTCCTTTTTTTGTCAGCCAAATACTGGTCTTTTAAATGCAGTGTGTGTGTGTGTGTGTGTGTGTGTGTGCATGCGTGTGCGCAGGTATGTGAACATGTGTGTGTTCTATAAGTCAGTTTCAGGTATCTTCTTCTGTTTCTTTCCACCTTATTTGTTCTCTGAGGCAGGGTCTCTCATTGAACTGGGGGCTCATCAATTGGGCAAGATTAGCTGGGCAAAGAGGTACAGGAATCCTCTTGTCTTCTCTTATCCAGTGCTCAGATTACAATTGTGTGCCAACATACCTAGCTTTTTATATAGATACTTAGATCTGAACCCAAATTCTTATTCATATGTGGAAAGCACTTTACTTACTTAGTCCATATGCAGTGTGTGGCCCTATAGCAATTTAGTTAAGTTTTCTTTCTTTGTAGATGCCATTGCCTGCACCTTGGAGTGACTCACACAGTCATTCAACTGCTCAAAATTCTTCCCATTATTTACAGCCTCTACGCTTTGGTGAAATTAACTGACCAATTCTTCCTCCCTCCCTCCCTCCCTCCTTTCCTTCCTTCAGTCCTTCCTTCCCTCCTTTCTTCCCAGTGATGGGGATGGGACACATGATCTTCTGTATGTATGTATATGCTTTGTGGCTGAGCTATAATACTCCAGCTCTTGAAATTCTTCTTCTTGATCACTGAAAGGGAAGTCTCCTATCTTTCTTTAAAAATCCCAGCTCCCTGTGGCTGTTTTGTGGTCTTTCTCATATATTTCATGCATTGTATGTTATGCACTCCTCTTCTAGATTTTGAGTTCCTAAAAGCTATGCTTGTACTATGTTTTACCACTATCTGTATTCCTGAGAATGCTTAGCAGACTACCTGGTACTGATGGGTATTTGTACTTATGGAATTTAATGGACCCTGAACCTCTGATGATCTGCAAGAAAGGTGCATGGATGGGTAAATGGGATTTCGTGGCACCACAAATATACACATATAGATATGGCTTGCTGGCCACAGAGGTTCATTTCAAATCCATGAGTACCCTCTGTTTAAGCAATAACTGTCTCTGTTGGGGGCTGTAAGATGAGAGTGCAGGCATGAGCTAGAGTTTGCATTTATTTTTGTTGGCTGCTTTATTCCATATCCTTCCAAAGTAGTTGACCGGTTCCCTTAGTAAACACATGTATGTGTGCTACATCAATTCCCCTTTCAGTAAACACAACTAAAGCTAGTAATTGAAAGCAAAGAGAGTTTCAAGAGGTTTAGTGTTGCCAAAAGTGTAACATAGTATGGAGTTTTTAGCAGCCAAATTATGATTAATATTCAGACTGAAGATTCTCTTACAAAATAGCAGTATGAATAATTGCCTCTCCAGTGCTAGTTTGTAGGGAGGTACTTGAGCCAGCCTCTCATCTTCAACTGTAAGATTTTGGAACTGCCAGCTTCAGTGGGTCTTTTGCTTTGAGAGGGGCTGCTCCTCTCCTGGGATATTTAAATTCTGGTCTGAAATAGAATTGGTTCTGGCCTTCTCTAATGAATTTTGAGCTTTACTCAGAGACTTCCTTTTTCAAGTGGACATGAATGATGAAGAAGTTCTGTGCTTAGAAAAGAGGGCTTCACAAGGTATTCAGTTCCTTCTTTTAAGTACCTTCCTATCTTCTGGGGAACTAGTCACAGTCACCTAGAGTGGTAAATGTGTGATTGGCTCTGGAAGTACCGAAGAGCCATGCAGGAACTTGGCCTGCATGTTGAATGAAGGCTGATGCTTGGAAATGTTGCTGCCTAGATGCTGATGCTAAAGATCCATTGTTGCATTAGAATAACTTTGGGCTTTTGAAATTTTAACTAAAACTCTGGGCAGCTATCCCTACCCCCATGGGGGAAAGCACTTATCCCAT